GACATGTAATCAGCCAATTATAATACAAAGTGATTGCACTGTAATAAATCTCTGAGGAACTTAAGAACGAGGAGCTATAAACTACTGGGTGTGTCTAAGTGGTCAAGCGAAGGAAGGCTTCCTGGAGGAAGTGATGTATAAGCTGAGGCACAGGAAGGAGAATGAGGAAGAGAGAAAACAGCAAATATAAAGGCCAAGAGGTGAGCAGCATGTCAAGTCCTTCAACAAAATGAAGTTTAGCACAGCAGGGATGGGGTACAAGCAAGGAGCTCACTGAGAAATAAATGGCGGTGTAAGATGATGAAGACCTTTCCAGGGCACAGAAATTAAGATTATGCCTTAGAAAAACAAAGGTAAACAAGAAAACATTTGCAAATTAGCATCTTAGAAAGATTCTCCAGATGAAAAATGGAAAATATACTGAAGGATATCAAGATTAGAAGTAGAAATAGAGTTCAGAACTGCTGAACTTGTGTACTAGAAATGTTGAAATAGAGAAGTGGGTAGACTTGGAAGTTAATACTTAGAAGGCAGAACCTACAGGACTGGAATGGGTATGAAAATGAGAGGAGAATCAAGGACGGTCCCTGGAAAACTGGTTGGATGATGGTGCCAACTGCAGTGAGGCACCATCCAACAGTGGCAGCTGTTAAAAGATGGTAGGTTCAGTGGAAGCTACCGTGACTCTGAAGTATCTGAGGGATAGCCTCAGAAGAAGAGATCTATGCTTTTGGACCTACTGGCTGAAATCTGGGTTTGTGATAAAGCTTTTTCCTATTCTCTGTGAAATGAGAAAGAATCTGAGAATGAAAAGGACCCTTAGACTTTTCAGGCAAAATTAAAGATGGACACCATAATTTATGATAATATCGTACCAGATATGAGTTGTATTTTTTTCTAGCTTTGCCCAGAGACTAGGTGTACATGTGTAAATGGCAAGTAATTGGATTAATCAGAATTAGGCTTTTCCCATGTGGCTGTAATAGTTAAAAAACAGAAAGAATGGAGATGAGGATGAATATAATAGTATGAGAATGGATAAAATGAGCTGAAATGGGAGAAGGTAGATCAGTAAAGTAACCAGAGATTTCTTTTAGGTCAAAAAGAAATTTAGAGTGAAATGGAGAGTATAGTTAGAACTAAAAAATTTCAGGCTTAATGAAAAGAGCCAGGATGATCTCATAAGGCCTAAAGGGCTAGACTGGAATGGATATATATGGCAATCAATGTTACGTAAAGAAAAGCATTTTATATCTAATATCCTAAATTAAAAAGTAAACACCTAGAACAGGACAAGGATACCCATTTATATTACTTCTATTTGACACAGTACTAGAATGCCTAGTCAGAGCAAGCAAGCAAGCAAGCAAGCAAGCAAGAATCCTGTGGCGCCTGACTGGCTCAGTTTGTACAGCATGTGACTCTTGATTTGGGGTTGTGAGTTTGAGCCCCATGCTGGATGTACAGATTACTTTAAAAAAAAAAAAAAGGAAAAAGAAAAGGAATCCAAATTGCAAAGGAAGATGTAAAATTATCTGTTTATAGACAACAAAAATGATCTTATGTGTAAAAAACCCAGAAGATTCCACAAAAGCTTTAAGAACCAATAAACAAATTCAGCAAAGTTGTAGGATACAAAATCAACATCCAAGAATCAGTTGTGTTTCTAACCACTAACAACGAGCAATCCGAAAAGGAAATTTAGAAAACAATTTCACTGAAAATAGCATCAAAAAGAATAAAATACCTAGAAATAAACTTAACCAAGGAGGTGAAAGAACTCTATACTGAAAATCACAAAATGCTGCCTAAAGAAATTAGAGAAGCCAATAAATGGAAAAACAACCCACTGACTGGAAGACTTAACATTGTTAAGATGCCAATACTCCCTTAAGTGATCTACAGATTCAAAGCAATCCCTATCAAAATCCCAATGACATTTTTTTGCAGAAATTAAAAAAAAAAAATCCATCTTATTAAGCAACCCAGAATAGCCAAAACAATCTTTTCTGGTTCAGTCGGAGAAGCATGTGACTCTTAATATTGGGGTTAGAAAGTTGGAGGTCTCACAGTTCCCGATTTCAAATTTTACTACAACTCTACGGTAATCAAACCAATGTGGTAATGACACAAAGACAGAAATAAAGATCAATGGAATAGATGTGAAGCCTAAACCCTCACATATATGATCAAAGGATTTTTGACAAGGGTTCCAAGACCATTCAATGGGGAAAAGACATTTCAACAAATGATGCTGAGAAAACAGACTACCATATGCAAAAAAATGAAGCTGGACCCCTACCTTAGGCCATATACAAACACTGACTCAAGATGGGTCGAAGACTAACATATGATCTAAAATTACAAAACTCTTAAACATAGGGGAAAAAGCTTTAAAATACTGAATTTGGCAATGATTTCTTGCATATGATACCAAAAGCACAGGCAACAAAAGAAAAAATAGGTAAGGCAGACTTCATCAAAATTTAAAACTTGTGCATCAAAGGACACTATCAATACAGTCAAACACAATTCACAGGATGGGAGAAAATATTTGCAAATTATGTATCAGACAAGGGATTGACATTCAGAATATATAAGGAATTTCTACAACTTAAAAATACAAACAACTCAATTTAAAAATGGGCAAAGGATACAAACAAGATATACAAATGGCCAATAAAAAAATGAAAAGATGTTCAACATCACCAGTCATCAGAGAAATGCATATTAAAACCACAGTGAGATACCACTTCACACTCAGTAAGATGCCTATTATCACAAATACAGAAAATAACAAGTGTTGGTAAAGATGTGAAGAAATTCGAACACTTGTGCATGGCTGATGGGAACGTGTAATGGTGTAGCCACTGTGGAAAATGCTATAGTGATTCCTCAAAATATTCAACAAAGAATAACCATATGATCAAGCAATTCTACTTCTGGTTATGCACTAAAAAGAAGTGAAAGCAAGGACTCCAATAAACAGTTGTTACCTATGCTCATAGGAGGATTCATCATAATAGTGAAAAGGAGAAAGCAACCCAAGTGTCTAGAGATGGGATATTTGGATAAACAAAATGTGGTATATACATATAATGATATATTATCTAGTTTTTCAAAGAAAGGAAATTATTTTATTTTTTAAATTTTAAATTTTTTTATTTGAGGGTGAGCAAGAGAGAGCACGAGCGGGGGAGGAGGAGTAGCAGGGGAGGAGCGAAGGGAGAAGTAGAAGCAGACTTCTCCCAAAGGGAGCCTGATGTGGGGCTTGACTTTCTGGGTCCCTGGGATCAGGACCCATGCTGAAGGCAGACGCTTAATGAACTGAGCCACCCAGGCAGGTGCCCCTAAAAAGGAAGGAGATCCTGACACATGCTACCAACACGGATGATCCCTGAAAATATTATGAAGGTGTAAAGTAGAATTGTGGTTGCCAGGAGCTGGGGAAATGGGGAGTTAGTTAGGAATTCAGAATTTCAGTTGGGAAAGAAGAAAAAGTTCTGGAGATGAATGGTGGTGATGACTGAACAATTTAAACATACTTAATGCCACAGAATTGCACACTTGAAAATGGTTAAAATGGTAAATGTTATGTTATGTATATTTCGCTACAATAAAAACAAAAAGGAAAGAAAACATAAGGGTAAATCTTAATGACCTTATATTTATTTGACAATGGTTTCTTAGGTATGACGCCAAGAGCACAACCAACAAAAGAAAAAATAGATAAACTGAACTTAAATCAAAATTAAAAACCTAAAAAACAATAAACAAAACAAAACAAAAAAAACCCGTGCACCAAAAGATACTATCAAAAAAGTGAAAAGAACTCTCAGAAAGGGTGAAGATACCTGCAAAGCATGTGTCTGACAATGGACTACTATCCAGAGTACAGAAAGTACATAAGCTACATCTTAACAACAAAAAGACAAACAACTCAATTTAAAAAGGGCTGAAAGACTTGAATACACATTTCTCCAAAGGAGATACAGACTTTGTTAATAAGTACATGAAAAGACACCAACGTCACCAGTTGTTAAGGAAATGCAAATCAAAATCAAGCAAGATGTGGTAACACTTTGCCCCCAGTATAATGCCTATTACAAAAGAAAATAAATGTTGGCAAAGCAGTGGAGAAATTAGAACCCTCATGCATTGCTGGTAGGAATGTAAAACGGTGTGATTCCTGTGGAAATAGTTTGGAGGTTCCTTTTCAAAAACATCAAATTACTATACAACTCCAAAATTCTACTCTTAGGTACAGAACCAAGAAAACAGAAAACAAGTGTTCAAACAAAAACACATACAAGAATTGCTCACAGCAACTATTCACAACTGCCAAAAACCAAAATTACTCAACTGTACATCAACTGATGAAATGATAAACAACATGAGGTTTATCTGTACAACAGTATAGTATTTAGCCATAAAAAAAGAATCAAGTACTGTTACATGCTACATGGATGAACCTTGAAAATATTATGCCAAGTGAAAGAAGCCACTGATTAGGGGCGCCTGGGTGCCTCAGTGGGTTAAGCCTCTGCCTTCAGCTCAGGTCATGATCTCAGGGTCCTGGGATCGAGCCCCGCATCGGGCTCTCTGCTCAGCGGGAAGCCTGCTTCCCCCTCTCTCTGCCTGCCTCTCTGCCTACTTGTGATCTCTGTCTGTCAAATAAATAAATAAAATTAAAAAAAAAAAAAAAAGAAGCCATTCATTAGATTCCATTTATATGAAATATCCAGAATATGCAAATCCACCGAAACAGAAAGCAGATTAGTTGTTGCCAAGGTCTGCGATGAGGGGGAAATAGGAGGTGACTGCTTAGCAAATACAAGGTTTCCTTCTGGGGTAATGAAAATGCGACGGTCACACAACACTGTTAACTGTATGAATGTCAATGAACTATACACTTTAAGGTGGTTAATACGGTGAATTTTCTGTTGCGTGAATTTTACCTCCATTTTTTTAAAAAAGCTCCCCCTCTTCATCAGTCTTACCTGACAGTTAATATCAGCTCTATACTGTAGCAGGACTGTAACTAGTTCTTTATGTCCTCGATCACATGCCCAATGGAGTAGAGCTCTGCCCTAAAAACACAAAAAAAGAAATGAATTTGTTATTCCTGTTACGAGGCCAAGTAAAACACACTTCCCTCTGACAACCATCAGTTTGATCTGTGTATTTATAGATCTGATTCTGCTTTTCTTTTGTTTATTCATTTTATTTTTTAGATTCCACATATGAGTGAAATCCTATGGTGATGGTCTTTATTAGTCCGATTTATTTCACTTAGCATAATCCATTCATATTGTCTTGCCAAATGGCAAAATCTCATCATTTTTTACAAGAGCGTAATAATTGTACACACATTTGTGTGTGGGGGCGTTATGTATACATATGGCTATATCACAACTTCTTTATCCATTTATCTATCAACAGACACTTAGGCTGCTTTCGTATCTTGGCTACTGTATGTAATTTTGCAATAGACAGAGGGGTGCACTTATCTTTTCAAATTAGTGTTTTTGTTTTGAGTAAGTCCCCAGTAGTGAAATTATCGGATCCTACAGTATTTGAGGGAGGGGAGGTAGAATCATATAGTATTTCTATTTTGTTAAAGATTTTATTTATTTATTTATTTGAGAGAGAGAGAGAGAGAGACAAAGAGTGAGCAAACAGGGGGAGGGGCAGAGAAAGAGAGAGAAGCAGATTCCCTTGCTGAGCAGAGAGCCTGATGTGGAGCTTAATCCTAGGACCCTGGGATCATGACCTGAGCCGAAGACAGACTCTGAACTGACTGGGCCACCCAGGTGCCCCAAGTATTTCTATTTCTAATTTTTTAAGGAACCTCCATACTATTTTCCACGGTGTCTGCACCAATTCAGGTTCCATTCATCTATGTGCCTATTTTCTGCAAACACCATACTGCTTTGATGACTACGGCTTTATAGGGTTACCTTGAAATCTGGAATTATGATACCTACAGCCTTTTCTTTCTCAAGATTGCTTTGGCTATTCAGGCTCTTTTGTGGTTCCATACGAACTTTAGGATTATTTGTTCTTGTTCTGTGAAAAACGCTGTTGGTGTCTTGATAGGGATTACACTGAATCTGTAGATTGCTTTGACCAGTATGAACAATTTAACAGTACTGGTTCTTTCAATCCACAAGCAGGGCATATCTTTCCATTTGTTTGTGTTATCTTTAATTTCTTTCATCAGTGTTTTATAGTTTTTAGAGTACAGGTCTTTCACCTCCTTGATTAAGTTTATTCCTAGGTAATTCTGTTGTTTCTGGATGGAACGTTCTATATGTAGCTGTTATATCCATCTGGTATAATGTGTCACTCAACAATAGTGTTTCTTTATTCATTTTCTGCCTAAATTTATCCACTGATGTAAGTGGAATGTTAAATTCCCTACATTACTGAATTACCATCAATTTCTCTCTTTATGTATATATTTAGGTGCTCCAATGTATCTTCTTGTTGGATCGATCTCTTTATCATTACGGAATGCCCTTCTTTGTCTCTTGCTACAGTGTTTTTTTTTTTTTAAAGATTTTATTTATTCATTTGAGAGAGAGAGAGACTGAGAGAACACAAGCAGGGGGAGAGGCAGAGGGAGAGGGAGCAGCAGACTCCCTACTGAGCTGGAAGCCCAACATGGGGCTCTATTCCAGGGCCTGAAGATAATGACCTGAGCCAAAGGCAGACGCTCAACAATCTGAGCCACCCAGGCGCCCCTACAGTGTTTGCTTTAAAGTCTATTTTGTCTGATATAAGTATTGCTACCCCAGCTTGTTTCTTGCTTCCATTTTTACAGTACATGTTTTTCCATCTCTTCACTTTCAGTCTGTATGTGTCTTTAGACCTGAAGTGAGTCTCCTGAAGGCAGCATATAGATGGGTCTTTTTTATCCATTCTGCCACCCGGTATCTTTTGATTGTAGCATTTAGGCCATTCAAGTAATTTTTAGTAGGTATGTACTAAAAGATACAATGTTTTAAGAAAGACAAAGTAATATGTAAAACTGTAGGTTAATTATTCTAAAACTAGTTGATATAAAATGCTCTATGGATGGGGCGCCTGGGTGGCTCAGTAGGTTAAGCCTCTGCCTTCGGCTCAGGTCATGGTCTCAGGGTCCTGGGATCCAGCCCCACATCGGGCTCTCTGCTCAGCAGGGAGCCTGCTTCCTCCTCTCTCTCTGCCTGCCTCTCTGCCTACTTGTGATCTCTCTCTGTCAAATAAATAAATAAAATCTTAAAATTTTTTTTAAAAAATTTTTAAAAATGCTCTATAGGAAAGGGAATAGACTTTTCTAAATCAACTGGAAATCCTGAGTTCTACTTCTGGAATCCATTATGTACTAGCCCAGTGACTTACTTCAGATTGATCCAATTCCTCACCTATAGAGTGAAGAAAAGGATAATACTGACAGCCGTAATACCAACAGTATTTGTTGAATGAATGAACTATAAGATAATGCGTTTTTAATTTTAAAGTAATTTATAAATGTAAAATATAGTTTTCTTAAATTATCATGTTTACTTCTTCTGGTGAAAGAAATCTTTTTTTGTTTTTTTAAGATTTTATTTATTTATTTGACAGAGAGAGGGAACGTGAGCAGAGGGAGTGAGGGAGGGTGAAGCAGGCTTCCCGCAGAGCAGAACCTGTGATCATGACCTGAGCTGAAGGCAGATGCTTAATGACTGAGCCACCCAGGTGCCCTGGTGAAAGAAATCTTACAGGTAAAATATGAGTATTTAAACTTAGGTAGAAATCACAATCAGTGTATCTAAATTAACTCATATATTCCTTACAATGTAAGAGAATTAAGTCAGTTTGAAACTAAGCATTGCCTGTTAATATCCCAAATTTATACTCTGAAATATCTAAAAAAACACTAATAAAATCTGCTAATATCTATCTTCAAATGTTACACTTGCAAAACAGAATAGATGACTGTTAGGAGTCAAAGTACTAAATATGAAACATTTAACCACTGTCTACCAAAGACTCACAGTTACTATCAACATGTTAATTCTATTTTCCACTTCCAGAAAATCTTGATTTAGTTAATTAAAGAAGCTCACTTGGTCCAAACTATTAAAAAATACCCCAGAAGCCAAGGACTTTTCTGAAGAAATGAGTGGTGTATAGTTTAAGCCTACTTTTTGAGGGTAGAAGTGATGTTGTCATTTTTAAAGAATGGAATGCTTTTCTACATTAAGTTGAAATCCCTACTTTATGTCATTTTAGAAAAGATTTCAGAAGATATAAGCAGGGACACAAAGACGGTTTTAAAGTAAAAAGCACTTTTCAAGAAAGCTTTTCTAAACCCACTTTATACTCTTTATCTTTCAGAATCTCTTCATGCACCTAGAAGTTCAACTAATTAAACCAGGATTTATTCTTGAAGAAAACAACAAGAAAGAAACAAAGACAATCTCTTCCCTACAAATTATTCTTCTCTTTTTCTTCCATTTGCTCAATTTATTTACTTATGAATATATTTTCCCACAGGCTTACATAAAATCCAAAGAGGAAGAAAAGCAGAAAATTTTAAAATGTGGGTAGATTCTTTACAACTTGTTAATAGCAGCAAAAGTATTTTGTGCAGAGCCCACTAAGAATATCTTTTAATAGAGAGAGTTCTAAAACTCAAGTAAAAAATGCGTTGTTGAGTGGAGAAAAGAGTTTCCCATGTTAAAACTTCTGTAGCTCTAATGTGTATTGACCTGCTGTTACTAAGGCACAAATTCCCAAACCCTTCATATGGACAATCAGATATTGTAATGGGGAAAATACCAATGTATAAAATATTCTATAGTTCTATTTAACTGTTTCACAGATTTCACATTAAAAGAATCAGGATTTCAAAGTCCCTATCTTTTCTCATTCTTATTTTAAGTGTATATTTTATGGTTATTAAGTTAAACTATTAACAAGAATTACTACATAGTTAAAATGATGTGTGATATACTTACACGGGGGCACCTACCAAAGTACCTAACAGTTAAGTAAGAAAACATACTATTAATATATTTAATACTTTTACTTCAAAATGTACAGATAATTTCTACTTCTCAACCAGGTTCCTGATTTCTCCTTAGGTTTAACCCAATAGGGTTATATTGATTAATGCTAAAATATAAATCCTTAGCTGTTGCGATGGGAAAGCAGACAAGTAACACATTTTACTGTTAATGGGAGTTATATTTTAAATTTCCCATATGTGGTGCCAAAAATTTACTTTAGGGGAAACACCTATGACTGGACCTCAGTACTGATTTCTACTGTAGATATATTTTCCAGAGCGGTAGCACTAGTCTAGCAATGTTTTAAGGAGGATGATGTGTTCTCAGACATGAACACTACGCTTTTTAATACGTTTTTTGACCTGTGATGTAATTAATTTTTGTAACACATTATTTTAATGGTACACTAATTAACCTTGAATTAGAATGAATTCTCTGACAATGACTTTCCGTAGAAGTGCTAAAGATATCTACAGTAAGACCACCTAATGATTAATATTTTTACACAGTATTAAGAAGCTCAAAACAAGAGCAAGATTAAACATACTTGTAAATAAACAAAGATAAAATAAATCAGGCTTTGGAATTTTGCTTTCAAAATGTTCTACACTTAAATGAAGAAAGACCAGCACAACCAGGTATCTGAATGTGGTAACTATTTACTTCAAATTATAAAGTTCCTGTGAACATGCTCTAATTCAAGATTATTAATTCAAGTAATAACATAATCAGTAACTTGCAGAGATGCTATCCTCATAACCATTCAGGATAAAACTAGGAAGTACACACCTGTGTTTTCTTTCTTTTCTCTTTGTTAACCAGAAACATATCTCAAACAATACAATGCAATTAATTACTACATTATTTTGGATACAGGATTTCATAATCTCTCCTCTAAAAGAAAAACCATTAATTAGGTACACACTATAGTTTCTTAAGGGCTATCCAAATTCATGAGGTAGTTCATCTATTTTTATATAATTGCTTTATTTTTTATGAATGATATAATCTCCTACAAATTTTCAAGTTAAATATATTTTTACTATACC